TAATTTCAATCTAGTAAGGCCTGAGATTCCAATGTTAGTTCCCTCAAAGAGAATATAATCAACAAAGCAGTTTAAATTTCTCCACCCAGATTGGAACAGAGGAAAAAAAAGGCTGAGAAAATGAAGAGTCAAAGTTGGCCTGTGGGATAATGTCATTTAGACTTACGCATGTAACTGGAATCCTAGAAAGGGAAAGGGGGAACAGAAACATTTAAATGGCTACAAGTCTTTTGTATTTAATTAACATGTAAACCCACGGAGTCACGAAGTTTAATGAATCTCTAGCAGGGAGAACATAAACCCAGAGCAAGGTACACATAATAATCAAATTGCTGGAAACCAATAATAAAAAGAAAAATTTTATTAAGAGAAAGAAGACATTATTTAGAAGGAAAGAAAGATCAGAATGTCTATTGATTTCTCATCAGAAATACTGCAAGCCAAAAGACAATTGGAACAACATTCAAAGTCCTGGAAGAAAAAAAAAAATGTTAACTTATTCGATATTTAGGAAAAATATTCTTCAATAAATTAAGGTTAAATAAAGACATTTTCAGACAAAATCTGATAAATTTTGCCATCAACAGATCTGTACTACAAAACATGATAAAAGAAGTTCTTTAGGCTGAAGGAAAATTATTTCAGATATAAACTCAGACCTACAAAACTGAATAAGGAGCATTATAAATGGTATATGTTTTATTTTTAATTTTTAAAAAATAATTGGCCATTTATAGAAAAATGATGTTTAGGAGTTTATAACATATAGAAGTAAAATATATGAAATAAGACAAGGGGAGGATGTAGTAGTAAGAATCTTACATTTATTAGTATATCATTTGACAGTAACTTTTGATAAACTGAGGGTATTTTAAACTCTAGAGCAGCCACCAAGAAATAAAACAAGGCAGTAGTGGCATAAAGTGGATTACTAAAATACTCAGTTAACCCAGAAGAGGCCAGAGAAAGGGGAAAACAGGAACAGAGAACAGATAGAAAAAGTAGAAAACAGAAGATGGTACACCTAAACCCACTCATACCAGTAATTACAATAAATGTGTATGGTCTTACTCTAAATAAAGCCAGAGATAGGCTGGATTTAAAAATAAAAATGCAACTATATGTTTACTACAGGAAATCCACTTTGAATATGAAGACATAGGTTAAAAGTAAATAAAAGGATGGAAAAGGATATAACATGCAAACCCTCCTAAGAAAGCTGTAGTGGCCATATGAATATTATACAAAGTAGACTTCAAGATAAGGGCTGTTGGTAGTGAGAAAGAGGTATACTTCATCATGATGAAAGATCAGTTCATCCAGAAGATATAATCTTCAGTATTACGGGCCTACTAACAGGTCTTCCAAATATATAAAGCAAAACTGACAGAGTTGAAGGAGAAATGCACAAATCCACAGTTGCAGTTGGAGATTTCACCACTTCCTTCTGGTTGACAGTAACTTGATCGAGACTATCAACCAACTTTACCTAGTTGACATTTATATATCATCTGCAGTGGCACACATCTTTTCAAGTGCATTTGGAACATTTACCAAGATAAACCATATGTTGGGCCATAAAACAAGTTTTAATAAATGCAAAAGCATTGAAATCAAATATGTTATCTGACATAAATTAGAAAAGAAGAAAGATTTCTGAAAAATTTCCAAGTATTTAGAAATTAACATTTCTAAATCCAGTTGGCCAAGAAATTACAAAGCAAATTAGAAAACATGTTAAACTGAATGAAAATGAGAACATACCACAAAACTTGCGGGATGCAGCTAATTTGTGGGATAAGTAGAACTTAAAGAGAAATTTATAGATTTAAATGCTTAAATATATAAAAGAAAGTTTAAGATCAGTAATCACAGTTTCTACTTTATGAAGTTAGGAAAAGAAAGCAAATTAAACCCAAAGTAATTAAAAGGATGTAAATAATAAAGCCTGCTATCAGTGAATTTGAAACAAACAACTAGATACCTATATTGGGGCAAAAAAATGTAACCTTACCTCGCAGTATACACAAAAGTTAATTCCAAATAAATCATAGACCAAAATATAAAACTCCAAATTTTCTAGAAGATGACATTGGAAAACCTCTTCATGATCTTGAGGTTGGTTATGATTTTGATTTCATAGGACACAAATAGCAGTTACCATAAGAGAAAAATTTTCTGAATTGGATTTAAACTTTTAAATCTGCTTTTGTTAAGATGTCATTTAAAAAGTGAAAAAGGTTACAAGCAGCAAGAACATATTCTCAAAACATTCTATCAAAAGACTTTTATTCAAACATTGTTTTATTAAGAACACCATACAACTCGACAATCCAATTTTTTTTTTTTGAGACACAGTTTCGATCTGTCACTCTGGCTGGAGTGCAGTGGTGCGATCTTGGCTCACTGCAACCTTCACCTCCTGGGTTCAGGCAATTCTCCTGCCTCAGTCTCCCAAGTAGCTGGGATTACAGATGTGCATCACCATGCCCAGCTACTTTTTGTATTTTTAGCAGTAGAGATGAGGTTTCACCATGTTAGCCAGGCTGGTCTCGAACTCCCGACCTCAGGTGATCCACCCACCTTGACTTCCTGAAGTGCTGGGATTACAGATGTGAGCCACCACGCCTGGCCGACAATCCAATTTTTAAAAATTGGTAAGAGTTTTAGACACTTCAGAAAAGAAGATATATTAATATACAGTAGGCATGTGAAAAGATGCTTAACATCAGTCATTAGAGAAATGAAAATCACAATGAGATACTACTCACACTAGAACAGCTAAGACCAAAAAGACCTTCAGTATGCAATGTTAGTGAAGATGTGGAGGAGCTTGAATTCATAGTAATATATTGTTGGGAATACAAAATCATACAGGCACTTTGGAAAACTGTTTGACAGTGTCATATAAAGTTAAACATACATTTATCATATGACCACAAATTCTACTGCTATTTTACCCAAGAGAAATGAAAACATATACATATACAGAAATGTTCATAGCAGCTTTATTCATAATAACAAAACTGGAAAAACCCAAGTGTCTCTCAGTAGGCTAATGGATAAACAAATTATAGTATATCCACAATTAGAATGCTGAGTATGCTCAGTAATAAAGATGAATGACCTGTTGATCATTCAGTAGGTCATATGGAAACCATGAGTGCCCTCAAAAACATGCTGTGAAAGCAGCCAGTAGAGAAAATCAGTGAAACCAGAAGCTGGTTCTTTGAAAAGATTAATAAAATTGATAAAACTAACTAGTGTGTGCAAGAAAAATAAATAAATCACTAATATTAGAAATAAAATGGTGGCATCAATACAAATCTTAAAGATATTAGAAGCATAATAAGGGAAGAATAACTTTGTGCCAAGAAATTTCCTTAGATGAATAGGACAAATTTAAATATTCTTTATTAGCACAGACAAAAAAATTTTAACAAAACATGAACAAATTCAGTCCAACAATATATATGAATATAATACATTAAGACTAACTAGGGTTTATCCCAGGAATGCAAGGTTGGGTTAACATTAGAACATCAATTCATGTGCTTTACCATATTGCAAAATAAATGAGAAAAACTAAAGTGGGAAGACTTAATTACTGATTTCAAGACTTAGTTTAAACCTATAGTAATTAAGACAATGTGATGATGGCTTAAGGGTAGAATGGAGTGTCCGGAAATGGGTATGTAGTGACTTGATTTTTGTCAAAGATGCCAAGATAATTAAATGGGAAAAGAATAGTCTTTTCAACAAATTGTGCTGGAACAACTAAATATATAAAAGTGAAAAAATAAATCTTCCTTACTACATACCATACACAAAAGAGTATGTATTTTATGGTTCTATTTATATGAACTATTAGGAAACAAATCTCATTTGCAAAGATAAAAAGCAAATCTGTGGTTGCCTACACCTAAAATTGTTTTGTTAGCAAGTCTTCTATGTAATTTAGTTGTCCTTAAAGTCCATCACAAAAATGAGCTTTAGTTCTTGTCTTAATGGAACTTAAAATATAGTACAGAGCAGGAAACTTGGAGCCTGGCAGATGCAAACATGAATCCCTCACCAGTCACTCCCAGCTCTGTGAATGTATATATCATCTCAGTGAGCCACGTATGCATAAACTATAGGTAGATGATGCCTGTTTCCCAGAGTAGTTGTGAAGATTAAATGAACTAATATAGATAAAATACCTGGTTGAAATGCCTTAGGCATAGTAGGCATTAAAATGATAGTAGGGAATAATAAGAGTAGTGTTATGCCCAGCATATTTGCTTACATTGTATTTTCAAAAGTTTAGTTAGAAGTGCCTTTTTTCACTTAGAAATATTTTCAGAAATGTGCAGGGGTTTGAAGCAGTAAAGGAAAAACAAAGAAACTGAGGTTAAACTTATCCCAACTTGCTGTGTATACAAACTGTCTTCTGAACATGCCTGTGTGTTTCATCTCCATGCTTTAGATTCATTCCGTTTCCGTAGCCATGAATGTTCTGTACTTTCCCTCTCTTCACAGTTTACCTGTCTTACTTGCCTACTTGTATGTTCAAGACCATTTTCTTCTGTGACATTCCTCCATGTTCTGACCTGTTAATTTATGTATCTAACCTGTTAGTATATATCTTTATTGATAATTTGGTACTTACCTGCTGGCTTTATTGATAGTCCCCTTTTCAAATGTCTTATGTCTCTTTCATCTATGGCAGTAACACTTTCATATTTCCTGGCAAGCAAAGAGATGAAGAATTACATAATTTGAAGTCATATCTAGGTTTGAATTCTGGCTCGCCATTTACTAGCTATATGAGTGTAGGCAAACTACTTACCCTCTCCTAGCATTAATTCCTCTCTTAGCCTCAGTTTTCTCACCTATAAATGGAAATAACTTCATTATTTTAAAAATCAAATGAAAATATGTTGAAAGTACCTGATACATGTAGGCATTAAATAGCCATTTTATTTTGATGGATTAATGAATATTGACCTTTACTTCAGTTTCCAGGAATATGGATCTACTGGAACAGCCCATGCTGATAGTGAATATGAAAGAAGAATGATGTCTGTATATAATCATGTCTTGGAGGAGGTAGAATCACTCAATCGGAAATATACCCCTGTTTCTTATATGGCAAGTGGCATTTGTTTTATTGAGCTTTTATTGTATGGAAGTAGGTTTTTCACACATCTCTGGTACTTCCTGTGTGAGTTCAACAAATTAACCTTACTGTGCCTGTTTTCCTTATCTATAAAACAGGGTTTTTCTTCCTGGCCCTTGTGATAGCCATCTTCTAACTGTGTCTTCACGTGGTAGGGAGAGATTGAGAGCTGTAGTCACTCTTCCTCTTCTTTAAGAACACTCATCCCATCATGGGAGCCCACCTCCAAATGCCATTATTTTGGGGGTTAGGGCTTCCACATATGAATTTGGGGGAACACAAACATTCAATCTACAATCGCCAGTCTTTGAACTTTACCCCTTGGAAAGTTTATCTTCTCCTGCTGCTGTTCTTCTCATTCTGTACTTTCGTGCTTTAACAAGTGTTTTAGAATAAATAGAATGTGTCATTAAAGAGTTAGGTTAGATCTAAAGATGGAAAGTTCTCTTGACATACTGCTTTCCATATAAAATTGTCAGTATTTACTGAATCAAATTGACAGCTGTTTGTCAGTGACATTGTTTGCTAAGGGAGAGTAAAAGACAGTCTTTGAAGGAAATACATCTTGTGAGACAGTTATTTTCACATTCCTCTAAGCTTCATCCTAAAAAATGAAGTAGATGCTAAACAGAAACTTCATTTTGATGGAATTGAATCACACCATATATAATGGAATGGGAATTTTCTGCCCAGGAGAAAACACAGTACAGAAAAAAGGACCCTAGGCCCATTCAGAACCAGGTTCAAATTCTGGCATTACCACTGAGCAGCTCTGCGACTTTGGGCATATTACTTAACATCCTTTTATATGAAGAGGAAAAAAATGCCTGCCTCATAGGATTACTGTAAGGTTTAAATGAAATAATGCTTATTGCCTAGTACAGTGCTCGCATATAAGGAGTGGTAAATAAAAGTTATTTCCCAGCCTGGTGCAGTGGCTCATGCCTATAATCCCAGCACTTTGGGAGGTTGAGGCAGGCGGATCACCTGAGGTCAGCAGTTCGAGACCAACCTGGCCAACATGGTAAAACCGTGTCTCTACCAAAACCACAAAACTTAGCCAGGCGTGATGGTGAGCCCTCTAATCCCAGCTACTCAAGAGGATGAGGCAGGAGAATCATTTGAACCCAGAAGACAGAGGTTGCATTGAGCCGAGATTGTGCCATTGTACTCCAGCCTGGGAAACAAGAATAAAACTTCGTCTCAAAAAAAAAATTAATAAATAAAAATAAAAGTTATTTCCCTTTTTCTCCATTTCCAAATTATATTTTATAGATTTTATACTTTTTGAGCCTCCAAATTCAGTTCAACAGTATTTATGGGATCCTAGGAACAGAAAAATGACAAAGACACAGGATCTTCCCTCAAATTGGCCATAGTCTAAGAAAGAAAGATAAACAAATACAATACAGTACATGTGCATTAATAGAATTCTGCACAAAGTAGAGATGTAATACAAAAAAGAGAGTAATTCACATTGAAAGATAGGAAAAATGGATTGGTGGTGCAGTTGAGAGAGAAGATATCTTTATATATGAGTTTTCCAGACAGATAAGAAGGGTTTGGGAATCTCAGGCAGAGAACATTTTCAAAAGCAGAGGCATGAAATAACATGGTGTCTTCTAGGAACAGCTTGTTATTGCTGCAGCGTAACGTACAGGCTAGGGACTAGAGAGATGAAATCAGAGAGGTAGCCAGCAGCCAGGTGACAAAAGGCTTTGAACACAGTATTAAGGAGTTTGGACTTTGTTCTTGGGCACTGGGGGGCATCTTAGAAATTTTAAATGGTTGGGAGAGAGAAGTGCCTAATACAGATTGTATATTATTGTTACATAGAAGCAAAGCAGGAAATGCTGTTAGGGTGTGAAATTAGAGGAAAGAATGACTACAAGGTTTTTTCAGTCATCCAAAGTAAGGAATAAATTACTAAAATGGCAGTAGAATGAGAAAAACAGATAGAGATGAGAGATATTTAGTGAAAATATTTTCAAGGCTGAATTTTCTTTTTTTAACTAGAAATGAGATGATGGAGACATGCCTTCCAGGTTTCCAGCTTGAATGACTAGTTATACAACTGATTGATCCTTTACTGAGAGAATATAGAGAGGTGATAGAAGATGAAGTTTTTATTTTCAAACATGTTGCCATTTTTAGGCAATTGGATAATAAATAGGTTGGAGTTGGAAGAAAGATGGACTGGGATGCATATAAGGTGATCTGCACATACAAGTTCTTAAAGTCATGGGAGTGGGGAGAATTGCCTATGAAAAATACTTGAATTAAAAAAAAAAAAAAGAAAAATACTTGAATTGAGAAGAGAAGATGACTAGGAGAGCATCAACTTTAAGGGACATATAAGAGGCTCTTCACAAAGAAGATGGTGAAAGGAAGAATCAGAAATAAGTAAGGATGGTGACTATTAGGTGGAATTTCATGGAAGGAAAAGCATTATCAGGTGCCACAGAAATGTCAGAAAATACAAAGACTGAAAAGTGTCCATTGGATTGACAATTAAGAGAGCATTAACATCATCCTTCTGCTGGTTTACTGATCCTGAGGTCAATACCCAAGGGGCTGTTGACCTCAGAGGCACTCCACATTTTTCCAAGGGGGTATTGCAAAACCTGCAACATTTTTTTTAAAAGGCAAAATGGTGGCTTTCTGCCTGAAAACAGCCTGAAGTCACTTGTCCTCTGAGTCTACCCTTCAAAGATGTTTCTCTCCTACACACTATTGTGGCATCAGAGGTCCACCAGAGGTGGATGTTCCTGCATATACTTTATAGATTACTTGTTGGAGGAAATCTGAAGAAATAGAACCAATGTCTTTAAATCTTTGTTGTCATTATCTCAGGTAATAGACCTGGCATTTGTACTGAGTCTGTCGGGCACAAAATGTTCCACTGCCTGAACCCAGTAAGGAATGGAATTTTCTGGCTTTTAGCCTTAACACCCAACTTAAAAATGTTTACAGCATGAGCAACTAGGTCACACTCTGCTTGAAAGCAAGAGCTTAGAGGGACAGGCAGCATACCACATGGTGCATGCAGCAGGTTTTAACCTGTGGTGCCTTAGGAGGCCACCAAGTCAGGAGCAGACTGAGGAAGGGATAGTAGACCAAGCAGGAGTTGAAAGTGTTCTGATGATGCTTTCAGTTTTAAGTTTGCAAATTATCGGTGATATAGAAGAAAGTCACTGAAGAGTCAGGTAACCTAGATTCTAGTCCCAGCTTGTTCCATTACCCATCTGTGTGACCTGTGTCATCAGTAATATTGATGATTAAACTGGTTAATCTTTAAAGTATCTTTGAACTCTTAAATTCTGATTCTATGATTAAGGCTCAGAATATTCTCTGCAGTGTTTCTGTACCTCTGCAGTCATGCTGGGATTTTCAAAACTCAATTACTTATTGAGAAATAAGGTATTTTATTAAAGTGTCAGGATTCCCCGATGATATATAGTCCTCCTTCATATGAATTCTACTGTTTCCACCATTGCTTACTCTGTGAGGACCAATGGCCATAGAGACAAAGAAGCCACCTAGTGGAAATGGGATGAAAGAATGAGCCAGCTCAAAGCCAAGGTTCTACAAATGTTCAAGCTTCTTTACCGTACTATTTATCATACTCTACCATGTGATACTCTATATTTTAGTATCTACTACAATTGTTTAATACGTCTAATGGTTCTAAGTGCTGTAGAAATGTGAAATTTGCCTATTGCTTGATCTCGAGGACTGGATTTTCTCATTTCTGTCACTTATATTTTATTGAATATACTTCACAATAAAGTAAAAACCTGTAATTGTGATTCTTGACATGAATGATTTAGTATGTATACACAGTTCCTGGATGTTGTTCTTGATTGGTATGTACATTTATAATAATCTGTATGGGCATTTGTAGTTTTATACTGAATGTATCACTTGTTGATGAAATTTGAAAATTTATTTTTATTTGATTTAGTTTCTTTTTTCCCCCCAGCATACAGCATGCCTCTGCAATGCCATCATTGCTTTGCTGAAAGTTCCCCTTTCTTTCCAGAGATATTTTTTCCAGAAACTACAGTCTACTAGCATCAAGGTAATATTAATACTAAGGTTAATATAGGTTTTAAAACCAGGTGTCTTCTGAGGATTATGTAGGATGTAGCTACACTTTATTGTGTTACCTTTGGTTTGTTGTGTGTTTTGGTTTTTTTTTCCTTTTCCTGTTCTTTTCTTTTTTTCTTTTTTCTTTTTTTTTTGAGACAGAATCTCAACTCTGTCTTCCAGGCTGGAGTGTAGTTGTGTGATCTTGGCTCACTGCAACCTCTGGGTTCAAGTGATTATCCTGCCTCAGCCTCCTGAGTAGCTGGGATTATAGGCATTTGCCACTACGCCCAGCTAATTTTTGTATTTTTAGTAGAGATGGACTTTCACCATGTTGGCCAGGCTAGTCAGGAACTCCTGACCTCAAGTGATCCACCTGCCTCCGCTTCCCAAGGTGTTGGGACACAGGTGTGAGCCACAGTACCTGGCCTACCTTTGGTTTTGATAAAACCTGGTTGTAAGCCATTTCTCTCCTTTATCAAGTGGTTTGGTGAAAGGAATGGATTTGAGAGTTAAACTCTCTCCCTTTTTAATTGTTGGTGCCAAATGCTAAAAGACAGGCATTTGGGTAACTGGAGCGCTGTTGTTTGTCTCTTACCTCCAGGAATAAATTAGTGATTTATCATAGTAGTCTGCAAGGATCTTGAGCTGTCTATTCAGACCCAACTTAGAATGAATCAGGTCTAGTAAACTCTCACCAGTTCTACTTCCAAAGTACTTTTGCCTTTGAGTAACATGTTTTGAGAGACTTACCAGTGAGTAGCATTAGTAATTTGAAATATTTAAGCCACTCACAATTCAAAAGCTATTTTTGACTCAGAAAATGAAATTGTTGGAAAAGGAAGAAAATTGTCACTTCTGAGAGATTTCCTGAATTGTCCCTGTCAGTTAATGTCTTCAGTGAACTTCTGCATCCATGCAAATGCTTTTGATTACAAATATCAGAGCATTCCATTTCAAAATGACCAGAATAATGAGGAAGATTGACTATCTAGGCAAGTCCTAAAGTAGGATGTGTCCAGGGTTGATAGGTTTAGTAGTTCAACAGCATTATCAGAAAGACTCAAATTCTTCCATATTTTCATTTAGCAAGACTTGAGCTTTCTGTAATTGATGTGTATTTGGGATTTTTAATACATTTTTAAAGAAAAACGAGAGGTTAAAAATGTCATTTGATTCATTTGTGGATATGGACTTTTTTATAGCACAGCGACTTCATCGTGTAGGTAATCCTGGAACTTTAAGTTCATTTACATTTGAATTTAGTTTGCCTAAAATTACCTAAGACCAAAGAGACAGCAGCTCTTAGATAATGAAAATTTACATAATGCATTTCCCTACTAGAAGTGAAGTGGTTCATTGGCAAAGAAATGCCTCACCACAGAAATCGGGAGAACAGTGCCTTTGCTTTTCTCTAATTCTCTATTACCCTCAAATAGAACTGAGGTTTGGAATGAAAACCACAGTGATACTTAGAAGGAAGCACTTTAAAGGTACACCTGTCTTGTCCCAGCACAGTCAGGTCATGTTGGCGTGGGGGAGTGAACACACAAATGTGTTAACCTGTAACTAGTGATTAGCACAGACATGTTTTTGTTGGAAGGAAGCTTGCTCTTGGTTGTTGGCATTTATTTGAGTGTTGGCATTTCAGCTTGCTCTGTCACCATCGCCCCGGAACCCTGCAGAGCCCATTGCTGTCCAGAATAACCAGCAGCTGGCGCTAAAGGTAGAGGGTGTGGTTCAGCATGGATCTAAACCAGGACTCTTTCGCAAAATTCAGTCTGTCTGTCTGAATGTTTCTTCCACCCTGCAGAGTAAATCCGGACAAGACTACAAGGTAATTTAGAAAAGAGGTAGAATTGTGGTAGGAGACTATGAGCTCATTCTTGGAAGTTTTCCAGTGTTTTTCATGGTGAAGCAGATTGCAGTTACACCTCCAAAGGGATCAGATGGTCATAAATTAAAGGTCCACATTGGGGCTTGAAGGGGCTGATAAACAACACTTCTCTTTTCTCTCCCTGAACCAGTGAATAGAGACAAAGCATCCAGGCAGAGATCAAAGTATGAGTTTTATTACTGTTAGAGCTGTGGGAAAACCTAAGTCTGATGCCTGGCAGCAAGGACTTTCTAACCTTAGACCCCTGAATTGGATTTTCTTACCTAGCCTCAGCCAGTACATATGAGAGCCTGTCCCCATAAAATGTATGGCAGGTCACGAGGACTTGGGTGCCCAAAACAGAAGAGAAAGAGCAAGTGCTTACCTTCCCATCATGTCTGGTTCCTGCCCAGAAACTCACCCATCAGCAAGACTCACCTCCTCCTTGCTAGGCCTGTAATATTAATCTAATGAAAGGTCCCTCCCACATCAGGAGGTCCCTTCAAACGTTAGAAGTTGGAAAATAAGTGTCTCCCTAACTCACCAAATCCCACCCCACAAAAAATACACATCTATTTAGTTTCCTCCATTTTAAGTAAATTTTAGCATTTAAAAAAAAAGTATATAGCATTTATATAAAATGATCAGATAAAGTAAAATCTTTTAAGAGTATAACTCTAGGGATTTGCTGCTTTGAGAAGTCAAGATATACATAAGTATTAACCTGAATTAGGCTTACATTGTTAGCCAGAGCTAAGATGCTGAAATGCCCATGAAATGCCAATATTCCAAATGAAAAAATGTTCCTTACTTTAGACATTTATTTCCAATCCCTTGGTGGTTTATCCACAGTAAATGAAGGAAGGGATTAAGTTTACAGTTGTAGCAGCAAAGTTGTTCAGATGCCCAGATTGGCTGTGTCCAGGTTTATTGTGGCATAGCATGGAAGGGGAGGGGTATCAGTGACGGCATAAAAGGAGAGTTTTATTATCCTCGGAGATTTTAGGTTGAAAAGCCAAGGGAAAGTCTGGTTCTAAACTATTATTACTTTCTGAAACCATTATTACTTTCTTAACTATGGTAAGTTCCTTTCACTCTGGCACTCTTTGTCCACTCTCTAACATGGCTGAGCCTTCATTCTCCTCTTTTCCTGTTTTAACTTCTATGCCATAAAGCATGGTACCTTATGTAGCCACTCAATAATTTGTGAATGATGAAAAATTATTTACTATATTTAGAGTACAACTGTTAAAATTGGGTATCTGCTATCACAGACGGTTGTAATGAGAATTTACATAATTTATCCATGTCTGTAGCTCTCTCTCCACTTTGAATTTGAAACAGTAGTAACCATGATTTTCTTTGTACCTTGCATATAATTTCTACTGTGAAGAAAAACTACATTTAAACCTAGAAGCTATGGTCTTCTGCTTGTTGACTTACCTCTCAAAAGGCATTGATTAAAGTGAGGAAGCTGATATAATAAGCAATGTAATAACATGATTACTTGCAATGTTTTTCACAGTGAGTTCTCAGCTTAAAATACAACCATCCATTCAGGGCGATCAGGTTGCCTTGGCCTATTTCTGGTCCTTTTAAGGAAGTTCTTTGGTAGGCTTATTCTTTAGGGAAATAAAAACTGTACAAAGGCTAATGTGAAAAAGTACCTATACTATAAATAATTCTAAGATCTTGAATTGGTTGGTAATGTCAGTTCATTAATGTTACAGGTAAATATCTCCGGAAAAATGACACGGTAATTGCTCCTTGAGACACAGAGCTGCAGGGCACATTTATATAGTTAATTATACCACAGAAACATGCACATAAACCTAAAGCAATTTGGTCAAATACACATTAAGATCACCTTTATGTGCGTTCTCAGAATAAGTCTATCTCTTGACACATTTCATCTTGGGTACAGGTAAGAGTACATCAGCAGGTTTTATTCTGGTCTTTGAAGAACAGAGGCATGAAAGTCTGGCTAAATAAATGAATGAGCCTGTAAATCTGTGTTTTATAATATATTGTACTTCCAGTCTGAACAAGACACTGATTAGTAAATGAGCAATGTACAAATTGTTAATTCGTTAAAGGAGTAAGGAATCACTACATTACTTAAGTAATAAAAATCAGACTAACTGGGGAAGAAACCTAAGTTAAATTTGCTTAGTGTTTTGTTCTTTTTTAGTCTCTTAGATTTTAAACTCTCTGGAACAGGTGATTTCATCCTGTTTCTTCAGAATATCTCTTCACAGTCTAAAGAAAGATAGAGGTTTAGAGATGGGTTGAGTAAGCAAGGAAGAAAGACTAGTATGTGAAGGGGCTGTAAACAGCTCTGGGAGCTCATTCTACTCAAGGACCATGAGGAGCATCACTTAGTAGTTCAGAGTGTAGGTTCTGGAGGTAGCTTGCCTGAGTTCAGATTCCTACTCCATTCACTAATCATGTGACTTGTGGAGAAATTATTTAACCTGCCTGCCTCAGACTCCTAATCTGTGAAGCAAGGATGATAGTAGTACCTACTTTTTGATTGCATAGTCTAAATAAGCTCTTAAAACAGAGCCTAACTGATAGTAAACACTGAATAAATGTTAGCCATTGTTATTTAACAATTGTTTCATTCCAGATACCCATTGACAACATGACCAATGAGATGGAGCAAAGGGTTGAACCTCATAATGATTACTTCAGTACTCAATTTCTGTTGAACTTTGCTATCCTTGGAACACACAATATTACAGTGGAATCTTCAGTGAAAGATGCCAATGGTATAGTGTGGAAAACTGGTCCCAGAACTACCATATTTGTAAAATCCCTAGAAGACCCTTATTCCCAGCAAATTCGCTTACAACAGCAGCAAGCCCAGCAGCCATTACAGCAACAGCAGCAGCGCAATGCCTACACACGGTTTTAACCATGGGATCAATGCACTGCAAACTTTGAAGAGATCAATCACATTGGCAGAAACAGTTTTTCATATGGAATAAGTATGAAAGTTACAATGTAGTTCATTTATTCATTGATTTTTGTAATATTCTGGAAAAATTTTGTTTGAAAAATAATTGGGCTCTTGGATAGCAAGATCGTTTTTTCTTGTTTTATTATTACTGTTTTTTCTTTTGCTGGGCTTTTTCTTTCAAGAATAGTCACATGTTGAGATCATTAAATTAGTAAATTTGACTGCTCCTCTTCCAAAATACATCATTTGTTGCCTGAGTTAGACCTAGAATTCTGAGATGTTCATTGGGAAGTTCTGACCAGTCACTACAAGGTTTATCCATGGTAGCAGAACCCGAGTCCTTCTATAGATGGACTTGAAAAGTGTTCCCTGCAACATCCAGCCTTCTGGATTATGAAAGCCCACAGTCTAGTAGTATTGAAACATCCTACTGTATTATTTGAACCACATATCTATCAATCTATCTATTCCTGTGCTAAAGCAATCTTAATTTATTATTTTCATATTTAATTGACACACAGAGCAGCTAGAAATTTCATAGAAAATTAAGGATTAATAATGTGTTTTTTTCTCATGTCTGCGACTGTATAATACAGACATTTCACATTGGTTCTAAAAGTGAAAAAAAAATCACTCCTTTAATATCTTAATGTTTTAAGTTAGAAGGGGTGGATCTTTTCCTTTGGTTGGTGATTGCTTTTGTTTCTACTTGATGAGTTATGCTAGACTTGATTGTTTAGAGAGAGCAGTCTCTTCATAACATAGGCTCAGTTAGTTGGGATGCTCAGGGAACAGAGTTTTCCAGTTAGCCAGAAACTGCCCCCCACTTTTTTTTCTTTTTTTCTTATTTTAATATTGGTTAAAAACGATGATAAAATAGACTTTCTTAACACAGTGTACTAGATGTAACTTAATTGCTTCTTGACTGGGGATCATTTAGGGCTTTGGGACCATGATTTGTAAACATCAGGGATCATATGATTGCAGATATTGATGCTGTAAGTAAATTGCCAGGATGCAGCTCCTAAGGTAAAAAAGCAGGGTACTTTCCCTGGAATTTCCCTTTTTTAATAAACATCTCAGTTTCTTTGTTTGTGTTTTGCCTTTTTCTCTTCAAAATCAACATTAATTCAAAGGAGAATGGAATGTAAGTTAAAAAAGGAAGGCTTTTTTTGTTGTTGTTATGTGGCCTCTGGGACTAAGAAGTCATTAGCAACTTGGGTCTCTCCAAGATTGCTTGCCTTCATGAGCACTACCCATTGTACTGCTAACAGCCAGAACATTCTCATAAAATGTGTACGCAGCCAAGGTGTCCGCTGTGAATGACATCTCGTTAGATGCAGCTCAGTTATACACAGTTCACACAACCTGCACAGACATCTCAGCATCTGGGAACACCTGCCTTAGGAACAATTGCCAGAGCAGTGCAGAAGACATGTGCAGAACCCCTTGTTCTTTTACCAGGTGTGGAAACAGCTGAATCAGAAAGCCTGGGTTCCACTCTTGGTTCTGATGACTTAGCTCTGTGACTAAGGCAAGTCACTTTACCTCTCTACATCTTAGGGTTGTTTTGTTTTGTTTTGTTTTTTGTCTGTAAAGTGACTGAGTTAGACTGGATTTCCGGATTCCAGCCTAGAGTTTTATTATCAAGTGACTGAAAGACTAAAAACAAAAGTTTCTTAAATTGGGGAAGATCTTTTTTATTTGTAATTACGTGGTTACTTACAGGATTAAAGTTTACAATGTGGATTTAAGCTTCTGGTTCTATTCAAGGTAGACTGCTCCAAAAAAAGAAGCAAATCTTGTAAGCCATCAGTTCCCTTTGAGAACTTCCCAAATTTTATGTTCTTAAAAGATAGGATTTTGATAGCTGTGTTTATGAACTTTTTAACCTGGTGCATTATGGGCTCCTGGCACAAACTCAGAATGGATTTTTTTTTTTTTTTTTGAGACGGGGTCTTGCTCTTTTGCCCAGCCTGGAGTGCAGTGGCACGATCCTGGCTCACTTCAACCTCCGCCTCCCAGGTTCCAGCGATTCTCCTGCCTCAACCTGTCAAGTAGCTGGTATTACAGACATGCGCCACCATGCCCAGTTAATTTTTGTATTGTTTAGTAGAGATGGGGTTTCACCATTTTGGCTAGAATGGTCCCAAACTCCGGTTATTCACCTGTCCCGGCCTCCCAAAGTGCTGGGAGTACCAGTGTGAGCCACCGCGCCTGGCTAGGAATTACTAAAATAAAAACAAATCCGAGAAGTTCAGAGTGTGAACATAACTCTGAAGCAAGAATACTTTTATTTCAGTATGTCCACTAGATCCAGGATTGGAACTCTGATTTTGTTTGGTAAAATATCTACTGAATTTTTGGCATCCACTGTTAAGTTATTTGTGGCAGAGGGAAACTGTTTATAACTTCAACACCACTAATGAATGAAAAGAAAGATAATGAAAGATGCATAAAAGAAAGATATGAATACTAATTGTGAAGTGGCATGTTCCCTGAATTGAGAAATATGAAGGGCACTGGCTGGTTAAAGCTGGGAAGACGGGGCCAGTTTTTCTGTGCTTCACCACTTTGCAGTGCAGTAGCCTCTCCTTATCTGCAGTTCTGCTTTCCACAGTTTCGCTTCCCAGAGGTGAAGATATTTGAAGAGAGACCACATTCACATAACTTTTATTATAGTATATTGTTATAATTGTTCTATTTTATAATCACTTTTAATCTCTTATTGTGCCAGATTAAACTTTGGCATGGGTATGTATGTATAGGAAAAAATGTAGCATATCCTCAGTCATAGGCATCCACTAGGGGTCTTGGAATGGATTGCCTACTGATAAGGGGGACTGCTGTGTAGTTTGTGACAGAGTGACTGAGAGCACAGCCTTTGGAGCCACACTGCTGAGGTTCCAGTCTTAACTTAGTGACCTTGGACAAGCTGCTTATTCTCTCCATGCCTCAATTTCCTTATTCCTAAAATAGAGAAACATGATAGTGCTTCGTGGGGTAAGTATGAGAATTAAGTGAGTTAGTATAGAATTAATGTATGAAAGCACTTAGAACATGCTTGGCAGATAGTAAACAGATATAGAAGCATTTGGTTTCATTAGTATTACTATTGTCATGATCCTCCTTAGTATCTTTTTTCCACAGTGTTAGATCGGTTCTCACTGAGCATTTTATTACCTAGTCTCTGCTATTAAACACATTTAAGCTATCTTTGCTCATATGCAATTTGGGTACATTAAGTAATAATGACCTAAACAAAACAATTTCTGTCTATGCTGTAAGTCATCTAATTAAAATATGTAAAGACAAACATACAAAGAAATATATGTAAATACATTCTGCCAATTGCCTTCAATGATGATAGCAATAGAATGTTGACTATTCAGAAATTAATGTATTCCAGCTTAAACTAAGATCTTCGGACATAACCTTTCTAGGGCAACCCAACCAAGATAGGCAGTTTGCAACCAGAGGATATGTCATTTCTCATGTTAAGACACTGTTCAGAGAAGAACAAACCAATTAAACAAGATCCTTAGACTAGGGTCCCAGAGATGTCAGTTTAAATTCTATTTATAAGACTCTTCATTAATCCTTAGATAAGTCACTTGCTCTTTCTGTGCCAATACCTGCCAACAGAATATTAAGAATAAGATGACCTGGCACTTGGTATATAGAGTTTAGGCAGCACTGACCAACAGAACTTTCTGTAATGATGGAGGCATCCTAAATTTCCACTAACCCACTACAGCCACTAGCCACATGTAGCTATTGAGTACTTAAAATATAGTTAATGTGATTGACAAACTGAATTATTTACTTTTAATTCAGATTTATTTATTTTGAGACGGAGTTTCACTCTTATTGCCCAGGCTGGAGTGCAATGGTCTTGGCTCACTGTAACCTCCTCCCGGGTTAAAGTGACTCCCCTGCCTCAGCCTACCAAGTAGCTGGGATTACAGGCATGCACCACACATCTAGCTAATTTTGTGGGTTTTTTTGTAGAGATGGGGTTTCATCATGTTGGTCAGGCTGGTCTCAAACTCCTGACCTCAAGTGGTCCGCCTGCCTCGGCCTCCCAAACTGCTGGGATTACAGGCGTGAGCCACTGTGTCTGGCCTAATTCAGTTAAATAGCCTCATGTGGCTATGGCCTGTGGAGTTGGAAAGTGCAGAGAATGAGAAATGAAAAAATGAGGACTATTATCTTAAGACAACAGATAACCCTTCAGAAGACTTCTAGATAAGGGGTCCTTCATTGGAATTCTTTGACTCACTAAGAATTCCACACAAAAGAGAGTATAGATGACAAGGAGAGTATTTAGATTCATGCATTTGCTTTGCTTCTTCATAGTATTTTATTAAAATAAAATACTATGTTGCTCAATCAAACCCTGTTATTTGCACAATGCCTTGGACTTAGCCTTTACCAGTCCCACAGACATTAACGGTATAATGAGATGTAGTAACAAGTCCAAAGTCTGGTGAGTTGGCTTGATTTTAGTTTCTTCCTTCAACCATAATAATATGATACCCAGATTTTACCTTAATGGGCAGATCTGTAAACACAGGCTTACCCATTCCACTTACAGGCAAGGCAAATGCTGCTTCTTGAAAAGCCGGGGTCTGTAGGTTCCTCCAATCCAAGTCGTCCCCTAGCCTGGCTTTATCTAAACTATATTGTGCAGCCACTTCATTGAGTCTCATCCTAGATTTTAACTTTTCCATGGTTCTGCCATGTTTTTTGAGTGGAAATGTGTCTGTTTACTTTGTTGCCACCCACTTTGGGGCCCTGAACCATCTTGTCAGCACTGTTGCTCCCAAACACGTGTCCCCATTTCCCCCCTTTTCCAGAACCATTTTTTCCTTTGGGCATCATCTTTGAAACTTGCTCTTCTAAAAATATTTTGTTGTTTCCAGATAATTTTTTAAGTAAAATTAATAAAGATGGGGTAATGCCAAAAGAATTATAACAGTCAGGAAAATTAGCATCTCAAATACCCAGAAGGCCAGGATGTTTTGCAGAAAAGTACATGGTATACAGAGAAGAAATATCTCTAACCCAACTTTCTTTGGTTTTCTTGGTGATTTCATTTGAGGATTTTGATGAATTTATCTGTGGTGATGAGTCAAAATTGTTTAAAGTAGGGGATTAGGGACAAATAAAATGGAGCTAAAATTATGAGAAGATACCAGTGTCTAGCTCTCATATTTCCCAAGATCATGGAAGGTGAAAATAGGCTGAGCCGCCTGGAGTTTCCCTACACCCCCACTGGAAGTGGTGAAGCTAATGATGCTTTCTGTTTATGTCATCTCACCCTGATGGCATGAAAGTGTAGTGAGGTGAGCAAAGTGATGATGAATTGTTAACACTTGCCTCTGCCTTGCTTTGCCTTCACATTCCACCCACTAGCAAAAGTGGACATCCTGTGATTAGGAGGGTCACAGGAGAAGCAGAAGAGAGGAATGATTTGAAAATGCAAATGGAGGAGGTGGACTTTCCCTGTGAGAGCACAACACTAGGCCAGGCCTGGGCTGGCAGTAGGAGAGTCAAAAGGAAACTGACAGAGCCCCCAAGCAACTTGGAGTCTCATTGGACAGAATAAGGCCTATTTTTAGGAAATGTGGAGAGGGCTTAAAAAAATGACAAAACACCAAAGAGTGCCATTTCTGAAATTCTTGATAGTGTCCCCTTGTATGTAGCAGTCAGGAGACAACTTTAAGTAATTTAAAAACTGGCCATCGTTTGGCATTTTCTTCTGCAGCATTTAGAACACATGTCCCTTCCTCCTCAGCCTCTTCTTGATGTAATTCAAACAACTGAGTACCTACTTCTTGTTAGCCAGAAAGTGACAAAACATTTCAAAAAAAAAAAGGGGGGGGGGAGCTCTTTTCTTTTGCTGCTGCAGCCGCAGCCATGAGTATGCTCAGGCTTCAGAATAGGCTCACCTCTAGTGTCCTCCGCTGTGGCAAGAAGGAGGTTTGGATGGACCCAAATGAGACCAATGAAATTGCCAATGCTAACTCGCGTCAGCAGATCTGGAAGCTGATCAAAGATGGGCTGATCATCCGCAAGCCTGTGACGGTC